CCCTAAAGGCAATACTAAACCTACCCAAAGTTGATACTCACTTATTTGATTTTTATTAAACATGGCATGGGATGGCATTAATACATGAAATATATTTTACATGGTTAGTGAAATTGTACGTATTCATTGGTGACTAGCTATACTACATTTTTATGTTTAAAATTATCCATCGTATGCTTGCCATGGATTTTACTAATGATAAAAGACTTAAGTTGAATGGTTTTTCAAGTGCTAAACATAACTTTTACCACATGTATTGAGAGATTTCCTCACTATGCATAAAACCTTGATCTGTGAATATACATGTGTTATTCTTATGAATTATTATTTTTTAAGACTTGCAAGGCATAAAAATCTCTCAGTTTAATTGATTATATTTCCGTCGCTTATTCCTGGATTTATAAATATTCCACCTTTAAGTTTGTTTCTACTCCTCACCTGCTCACTGAGCCATTGATCACTTGGTCTATGAGATTCACCCACATATATTATTATGCAGATATATATATTGTTGGGAACATTGTTGGCAAGGATACCTTCTACAACTACATAGGTAAATGGTATCTCTTAACATTCCTTTGTGCCACTTGATAATTCTATTTTATAGAATTATTTTAGTCCAATTTTGTTATTAAATATTAGCTAAATCATTAATTTTCAATTATAATTAAGTTATTTTTTGTTGCTTTTATAATTAGTTTATTTTTAAGTAAGTTATTCTAATTTTATGTTTATTTCTTTTAATTTGGCCATTATTTATTAGTTTTTATATTTTTATAAGGATTAAGGGAATTGGCTTAATTTTGGAAAGTAAGGTATTGAAAGACCTAGAAGGTTGCTGACATATGCTTCAGTGTTTTGACCATCGCTCGTGCTACAGAACTCCAAATATTACGATTCTTAGACCATTGGAAAGCTAGAGACAGAGGTAAAACTTTCATCATATCACATTGCCTAGTTTTGCCTCAAAGATAGAGAATTGCACCAAAAAATGGCTGGGTATACTATTATGGGAATGGTAATCTTAATACTGACAATTAATGTTTGGGCCCATTACTTTATTAAGCCCTATAGTTACAATTAGTAGGTTGATTTAAGAACTTATAGGTTAAGTTTGTTAGTATAAATAGGATATTTCAAAAGACACTAGGGAGACAACTTTTGGAGATTTAAGAAACTAAAAGTTGAGGCCGAAACTTAGAGAGTAAAGTAGCAAATATTTATTTTGTTTTCTTCCTTAGCTTCTATTTTTCTTGTTAGTCTCAATTGTTGAAATTTATATAATGCTATTTGTCTTTGAAATTATGAGTCTTTTTTTGGGATTGGAATTAAACTCACATATAATCTAAATTTT